TCTGGGGAATGGTAACCAAGATGTTGAAGTCAAATGAAGGAAGCTGTAGCATCCTTGCTACTTGACTCTCTAGGTAAGTGCTGTGGAGGTCTCTGAGCTCAGGAGAAGTGCCTGCCATTGTCCTTTAGCTTCAGAATACAGTTAACTGGTAGCCACTGCGGTAGCTGGGTCATCATCTCTGCCATTCGGGAAAGCCGTGCAGAGTCTCTGACCCCACTGTTTGTCACTTTCCGCTGCAGCCGTGGTTAACAGAGTAGCCATCGCCCTCCACAGGCATAAATCCTTTTCCCCACAAGAGGATATTGGCTGGATGTAACGTTTATGGTATGAAAGGAGCAGCTGGCAGGGTCAGTTTCAAGGCTAGTAGGTTCTCTTGGCCATCCTATTTAGCAGATGGCCAGGACTTGATAGATAGAAAATTATCAGGATCCAAGTCAAGGGCCAAACGGCATGGAGGAAAGGAAAAGTACAGATGACAGCACGAATCTGAATACAGGCACATGTAGTTTGATGGGGTCTTCCTGCCTGGGTTTCATTTTGCTTCCAGCAGGACTGACCACAGCGCCTCCTGGAGAGTTTGGATTATAGACACATCTCTAGAGATTATTGATAACATGGCTACTAATTTAGTGATTGATTGAATCCCATGGTGGGCTTTTAGTATTTTTTTAATTGCCACAGGTTGTGTGTCCTTGCCCAGAAAGAGACAGAGGAAGAAAGGGAGAAAGCACCTCCCAGTGGAGTATGTTCATGCATTTCTCCATCTTGTAGGGATTTGGGGTACACATGCCAAGCATACTTTCCAAGCTGCCAGAGCCAGGATTTGAACTTTAGTTGGCCATGTGAGATCAGGCTCCTCTAACTACAAAGTCAGAAGCCTGGTGGGCTATTATTTGGGGAGGCAAAAATGATGAAGCTTAGATTTCATCAGCATTTATATGAATTTGGCCTTTAGTCCAACCCTCCGTGTCATGGTTTTCTATACTGCCGATGTGTGTGTATTTTGGTTATAGCTAAAGACAACTGAAACGCTTTAATTCAGAACCCTCTCTCGTGTTTATGTGCCATCCTTTTGAAGATGACTAATGCCACAAAAGCTGCTCTGAAGTGGAAGTGCCAGGAGCTAAGTTTTGCAGTGAGAGCATAAACTCTGCAGGGAAAGGGGGTGTCTGTTTCTTCCAGTCCATTTTAAGCTCATTTGTGCAATTGCTGCCTTCTCTGTATTACGGCATAACTCCTTTGATCTGAAAGTGGAAGGAAGCAAATTTCAAGAGCCAGGAAAACTCCTCATGCGGCTTTAAAAGGAACAGCATATTACAAAATTGAGTGGATGTCAAATAAAACATAGATTTGAATCTTTTGAAATTTGAATTCAAAGAGTATTACTTTGAGAGCCACATATATAAAGAAGCGCAGGGATAAAATTGCTGTTGTTTGACAGTCGTTAAATTTGACTATTTAGGTCAACTTGCTGCCCTGTATTATCCATCTCTTATCAGGGCTTCATTTGCACTCCAGTCTTTGCACTTTGAATCCTCATAACAACATATGAGGTTGTGTCCCCATTTCACAGATGCAGACACTGAAGCTCCATAGGTTCATGCCTGACTCAGAACTCCATTTTTACCCCATCCCTTGGCCTCCTCTACCCTGGATAGAGACCAGAATATAAGCATGGTTTGCTAAAAACAACCTGCTTCCCTGGCATATTGAAAATCTGCTCAAATTGCTTAGCTTATTTATGTCTGTGATTTTTTTTTAATGTGTCAAATTGATTGAAACAGTGAGTGGAAAGGATTATTTTAGTTAGGGTTGTGCCTTACTGGAACAAATGCACTTATTAACATACTGTTTGAACTCCCCACCCTGAATTTTGGAACCAAGGCATAGACTGGAGAATAGTATTATTAGTAAGTTAGGTTGACCAACTTATAGCCTCTATTTCCTCTGCCTTTCTTTATATCCGTTTTCTCAGCTTGAACCATGAAACCAGCAGTGGAGGCTGTGGAGTAGAGTGGACATTGTGGAAGGCATTTATGAGGTGTATGAGGTTCTTTAGAATCTGGGGCTAGGTCCTTTAACTCAGATGAGACCAGGTCTGAGTATGGGAGACAGAGATGCTATAATCAGAACTGACCAGAAATGGAACCTGAACTAGGTTACCTGATTGTTCTCCTCTGTCTGGTAGTTGGCAGACCGGCAACTCCAGAATCCCCTCAGCAGGGATGCCTATGTCTGCTGTATGTGATCTCTCTTCTTCTAATAAGTTAGTTTGGGAATCCCCATCTGGTGGTCTCAGGATTCCAAAGAATCCGTACACTTCATAAGCCTCTGTCTGCATCAGGTTCACTAATTTGTCATTAACCAAAAGCAAGTCATATGACAAGCCCAGGATTAAAGGGTAGAAAAAGTAATATATACTCTTGGTGAAGGAAGGAAAATCAATGGCACAGGTGCATATGACAGGGATGAGAGTAATTTGCTGCCGTTTGGCATCTCCCGTAGGTACTAGAGTCACTATAGGTAGTTAAACTGGCATGAACATCTCCACAGACTGAATCAGATGTCCTATTTTTGCCTAAAACTTCTGTTTGATCTTGGATCCTTCTCTGGGCTTTGATTTTATTTTTTAAATTCCAATCAATTCCTTCCTGTGATGGAAATAGGATTTTTCCTCAAATACAGTTTTGATGTGGTATATTCCATGAATGTTTACCTCACAAAAATGTTGCATGTTGGGCCAGAAGGTGGCATGGTGGTTAAGGCATGGGAATTTCACATGACCGACCACAGTTCACGTCCCAGACCTGGCAGCTGGCTTGCTTTTTTACTATCTCTCTCTCTCTCTCTCTCTGGTCGAGTTAAAAATATATATTATATATATTTTTATATATATAATATATATTATATATTATATATATTATATATATATAATAAAAAATGTAGTTACATAAATAAAATAATTCTTTTTTAAAAAGTTTTGTGCTTCTACCAGTGTGTTAACCCCCCCCGCGCTTGAGCTTTTTGTCACACAATTGGAGGTACACTTATGCCAACTCCCAGAATTTTTTTTTTATTTAAGAATAATTTTATTTAACTTTGTTTGTTTGTTTTAATTTGACCACAGAGGGGCAGAGTGAGAGTGAGAGGGAGAGAGAAAGCAAGTCCTCAGGTCTAGGACTAGATCTGTGGTCCAGCGCCCTTAACCACCATACTACCTGCTGGCCCCACAACTCCCAGAATTCTCCCTTTGTGATCTGATATACTGTGTTCCTTTTCACTGATCCTTTATTTTTATACCTATAGTGTTTACAATGTAATACCAAATTCCACATCATTTTATTAGTCTGTAAACATAACACTGCATAATAGTACCTGTGTTCTGAGTCTAGGCACAACTCAGGGCTCCGAACATTAAGATGCAATCACTGTTAACTCAAAGAGCATCTAACCGGGATTTCTCAACCTCAGCCTCTGCACCACTGACATTTCGGAGAAGATCACTCATTCTTGTTGGGGGTGTGAGGGTGTGTTATTCTGAGCTCTATGGGATGTTTAACAGCAGTCCTGACCTTAGCTTACATGAGCCAATAAGTCATCTCCCTCCCATTTCCCCACATCGCTAGTTGTGACAATCAAAAAAATGCCTCTAGACATTGTTAAATGTCCCCTTGAGAGGGCAAAATTGCCCCGAGTCAAGAACCACTGCTCTAACGTAGATACACTGAGGCAGAGGAGAGAAGAAAATGTATGAAGGGTAGGCTATCACTTGGGTGCTAAGCCAGCATAACATGCCAACAGGGAGAATCCGTAAGGGTAGGAAAGCCATGTGGAAACTTAAAGTCTTCTTAAAATTCAACCCAGGAATGGATCTGAATTCTTCTGAATCAACTTGGAAACATCAAATTGGGTCTCGTTACACATTGAAAGGTTCATCAATATCTCAACTTCATTATGTTAGAAGTGGATTAAATGTAAATACTACCCCTTAAAAAAATAAAAAAAGAAAGCCAATGCTATGCTGACGACAGACAATAGATTTTGAAAAACTCTTTATTTGGAAAAAATGTTTAAATAAACATATGCAGAAGTAGAGAAAATTGTGTCATGACCATCCTATACCTACCTATCACCCAAGGTCATAAATGAATTGATTCAAGGACGGTATTGTTGAATCTCTACCCAACTCACTTCCCCTGCTGTCTGCCAATGGATTATTTTGAAGCAAGTTTCAGACATCATTTTATTTCTTTTGTAAATATCTCCATGTATATAAAAAAAAAAAAGTACTGAACCTAGAAAACAAGATTGTAATACGCTGGTGGATTTTTAATCTTTTAGGAAGGACAAGTATGAGAGTGTCTGCTGAATATTATCAGAAAGTTAAGGGACAGAATGGATCAAGGCCAAAGAAACTTGACTGTTGAGGGGATTGAAAATCCTAGAAGGAAATGAAAGTGGGACACCCTGTCTCCTCCATATGCTCTCCCCTCCTGTCTTGCTTTGAGTAACTCTTAGACATGCCCCTTATAGGCACACAGGACTGGGAATATTAAAAAGGAAAATAGGCTGCAGGAATCTGATGACTTTTCTAAAAAGCATGGGGGGGGGGGAGGACACAATATCCAGAAGGTATTGAAATATTCAGTCAATGATGGATTGCACTCTGATGATTTTGAGTGACTTTTTTAGTCTATGAGAGCATATTTGTAATAAAATAAAGCAAGAAGAAACTCTTGCAGGTACATTTAAAGTTTTGCTAGGACTATGGTATTTCTCTCCCATTATAGTCAGAGAAGTTTCTTTCATTTAATTTAGACTTCCTCACTTGATTTTATTGTATCATAAATCTCCCACATTTGGTGCGAACCATGGTATATGTGAGCCCTAAGCAGCTTGCTAGATAACATCTACCCCCTCCTTCTCTTTAGAAGATTAAACTGAAGCTATTGTGTCTGATGCCAGAATAGATTTAACCAATCATGTTTCCTTTACGTTAGGTCAGTCCGAGGGACAATTCTGCACTGGATCCTATTATCCATGGGTTGAAGGGCGTCGTACATCATGGTAAGTAGGCCACGTATACTTCCTTTTGTCACAATGTGAAGGACCCAGATCTCCACCTAAAGGAATCGGGTTATCTTGCAGAGAACCAAGGGTAACTCCCATTCCTCATGCACTGATGTTGAAGGGCATTAGAGCCATTATTTGATGGGTAAAGAGCATGCCCATTCATTACCTGCAATGGGCCTAGGTTAACAGTAAGCAATTTGTTTCTGTTCAGGTACCACTTTGAATGCAGATGTTATAAATCAAAGCTCTCTAAGGTGTACTGTTCATATGTGTTGAACCTGCCATTTGTCTCATCTCTCCTCTTAAAATATTCTTCTTTCAAGTGTCTTCTCATATATAAATTTTTTGAGTTGCCTTTCAGATTTAGGGGAAAATTTTAAGTAGCCATGACAAGTCGTTAGACTTTTCTGTGTGTGAGCAACCGTCGTGCGGCCAGTAGCATGAGAAAGGATAGGTCGTTGTTCTGCGTGGCAGACATCTTATCCTCAAGCATAAAAGTGGGAGAGAAAGTAAGATAAATGTGGTCTGTCTTTTCCAACTGGTTTTTATTGGAAGAATTTCCCTGCAACTTTATTATCAGCAATGCATCATTACCTATGGCATCGAGATCCTCTAATTTCAAAAGTACCCTTGTCGCAGTGAGGTGTGGAGTCAGATGTAATGTAATGATTTGCAAAGTTTTAATAATCTAATTAGAATTCTAAAGACATTGACAGAAATAGCATTAGTAACCATAATAAATCTCCCCTTCATCTCCGCGGCTGTGATAAAACATCTTCACACTTTTTGGGGAGGGCTGTCTGTAGACATTAACCAACTCTGTAGAGCTTAACAAACATCTTCCCCCTCTGTTTCAGGGAAACTGAAACCGGTTGTCAGGGTTCAGTTGAAGCAAGTAGGATTTTTGGATTAATTGTTTTGGTCTCACAATAATTCAGTCATGCAGTAGGTAGCAATAAATCTAGTGAAAGCAGAAAAATAAGAGTAGTTGAAAACATTCCCTAGAAATTTTTATTTTAGGAAATTCCATTGCTTCTTTCCAGGTCTCAGTTTCCGTAAGAACACTAATGCTATTTGTGAGGTTCTGCCTCTATGACCCAATTATCTCAAAGATCACACCAATACCAACCCTTGGGGGGGCTAGGATTTTAACATACACATTTTAGAGGGAGACACCTACGTTCAGACAGTAGTAGAAAGTGATACACTTTACCTAGCTCTGCAAGGGTTGCAGAGCTGTTTCAACCCCACACTCTAATTGGGAAGTCAGAAGAGACCTGCAAAAAATAATCATTTCCAAATAAATTGTACATTCAAAATGTGTTGTGTGCCCATTCCACACAAATGTAGAATTGGAGTATTGATTAAGGCAGACACGGGGTAGGCCTCATGGACTTAGAAGGGAAGGGAAATGTTGCCTTCCTCTTCTTCCGGCCTACTGAAAGTACCCCCACACATTCACCAGCCTTTGTACCAGCTGTTGTTTCCTATGTTGAGAGAGTTCTCCCTTGGCTTATACCAAGGGTGTTGCCCTCTTATATTTTCAGATCTTAGTTCAGATCTTGCCTCTTTAGAAAGTCCATTCTTCTTTCCATCATTCTTCCTTTCTTCCTTTCTTTTGCTGCAGGGTGCATGTGCTCTTCAGAGAGAGAGGAAAGGAAGAAAGCACCCCTTTCCACGAGGAATGGTCATGCTGCAATCCTTTCTCCTCCATCACTCCCTCCTTTTGGGATTTTTGGCCATGCATACCTATGTCCCTGGCATGCTTCTCAAGCCACCTGGTCCTTGGGATTGAGTGCCTTAACTGTAACTACCAGACCATGGAGCCAACCCAGAAAGTTCTTTCTTAACTATGAAATCACCTACCCTCTCTATTCCCTTCATTCTCTGTAACAGCATCCTAGGTTTCTTTCTTCCAAGCCTTTAAACATATCTGACATAACCTTATGTATGTGTTTACTCATATATTACCCAATTGAGTAGAAGCTTCATGGGGGCAGGAAACCATGTTGACATGGCATTCCACAGCTGACAGATATTAGCTCAGTAAATACTATGTAAATGACCAAATCAAGTAAACATACAAATATACATATATGTGAAAATATAAAAATATAAAATTGGATGAAGAAAAGAGGAATTAAAGCTCACCTAGGTTTTACTTCGATTAAGAAGAAAAAGGAGTTAGCAATATGTCTTCCTTCCAAAAAGCAATGAACATTTGAAATAGTTAAAAACTATTGGAGCTAGAAGCCTTTTCAGCTGAAGGTCCTGTGAGGGATTTGAATGATCTGTTAATTTGAAGGAACATAAATAATTGTGCCCTTCACAGAGTCTCTGGCGTGGGAATGATGATAGATATGTGTAAAGAGGAAAATCAATATGGATTTCTGTTGCAGTTCAGAAATGACTTTTATTTCTTCAGCTCTGGGAATCATATCTTAGAATGTTAATTTCTCATTAAGAGAATTTTTTTTTTTAAAGAATCTTCTGTGTCCCTCTGGCTAAAACTGCAACAAGTAATCTGGTCATACCAGCCAACCCTACTTGGCAGTCGACCAGCAAGAGAGTTTTTTGGCAGGGAGGGGTTGCCTTGGAAGGATGAAGGGAAGAGAGATGAGAGTGGGTGAGGGAGGTGTTCAGACCACAATGCAGATCTGATGCCTCTGGAAGAAAAGAGGGATACTAGGAGTAATAGCTAAGGGCAGCTCTAAGTCATGGCCAGGTCATCAGAGAACCCCAGAGCAAAAACTGCCCTTGGAGGAGTCCTGCCACAGCAGGAAAGGCTGTGCTGTTCTTCTCCCATGTGGGGTCACTGATGGGAGCATCCCAATGACAACCTCAGTCAGATACAGTGTTGGATCCCCACCATTGGTCCTCAGCTGACCACTCTCCTCACAACTGCTTTTTTGAGAAGAGGATCTCAGAGGCCACACAGAGCTTCACATTTTCCTTCCAAAGATACTTTCCTAGACATACTCTCAATGGGTTTTCTACTTGATCCCCCTTATTTTTAAAATGCCCAGAGATTCTTATAAGCACTGCCGATTTCCTTTGTTTGTAGTTGTTGAGTGCCCAGTTATCAGTCCATCTTGAAACTAGGCAGAGTGTGTAGACCCACCCTCACCCAGTTTATAGACTTGGGAAAGACATCCAGTTAAGGACATAGTCACATTGAAGAGTGTGGGGCTTTGAAAGTGCTTCAAAGTGATCATTAAGGCCTAAAGAGTACATGGAGATTGTCCAGGCTGAGAAAGGGGTGTAGGACCTCCAGCAGGACCAGTGTAGGTACAGTGTCTATTGGTGAGAGAGGATGCAGTATCTTGGAGACTTTGAGCACTGTGACCTTGCTTCTCTCATGCTGGGGAGATACCAAAAACCTCTTGGCCACATGAAGTGTTGCTTCTCGTGTGTCCATATTTTTCTACACAAATTGTGACTTTTTACAAACTGAAGACTTGTGAAGAAATAAACATCAGTAGACTGGAGTAGGGCAATTTGCTATTGACTCTGGCTCCATCTTTCTATCTATTAAGCAATAGATGAAAGTCATAAAACTTATCTGATTTGTCTATTTTGTCCTACCACCAATGTCCACTAGAGAAGAAGATTTAGGGAGACCATGTAAATCCCAGTCAATGCATCAACCTTGGTCATTTACAATGCTTTGTGTAAGACCAGCTGATGGCGTGCTGGTTATATTGCTGACCTCCCATGTAGCCAACCACAGTTAAGTCCCAGACCCGGTGGCTTAAAACTCACACCGGGCATGTGTGTATGTGTGCCCAAGGTCCCAGCAGGAGAATGGAGGAGAAAGAATTACGGCATGACCATCCCCCCTGGGCGGGTAATTACTCACTATCTGTCTCTGTCTCTCTGATGAGCACACAGTTGAAGCAAGTAGGATTTTTGGATTAATTGTTTTGGTCTCACAATAATTCAGTCATGCAGTAGGTAGCAATAAATCTAGTGAAAGCAGAAAAATAAGAGTAGTTGAAAACATTCCCTAGAAATTTTTATTTTAGGAAATTCCATTGCTTCTTTCCAGGTCTCAGTTTCCGTAAGAACACTAATGCTATTTGTGAGGTTCTGCCTCTATGACCCAATTATCTCAAAGATCACACCAATACCAACCCTTGGGGGGGCTAGGATTTTAACATACACATTTTAGAGGGAGACACCTACGTTCAGACAGTAGTAGAAAGTGATACACTTTACCTAGCTCTGCAAGGGTTGCAGAGCTGTTTCAACCCCACACTCTAATTGGGAAGTCAGAAGAGACCTGCAAAAAATAATCATTTCCAAATAAATTGTACATTCAAAATGTGTTGTGTGCCCATTCCACACAAATGTAGAATTGGAGTATTGATTAAGGCAGACACGGGGTAGGCCTCATGGACTTAGAAGGGAAGGGAAATGTTGCCTTCCTCTTCTTCCGGCCTACTGAAAGTACCCCCACACATTCACCAGCCTTTGTACCAGCTGTTGTTTCCTATGTTGAGAGAGTTCTCCCTTGGCTTATACCAAGGGTGTTGCCCTCTTATATTTTCAGATCTTAGTTCAGATCTTGCCTCTTTAGAAAGTCCATTCTTCTTTCCATCATTCTTCCTTTCTTCCTTTCTTTTGCTGCAGGGTGCATGTGCTCTTCAGAGAGAGAGGAAAGGAAGAAAGCACCCCTTTCCACGAGGAATGGTCATGCTGCAATCCTTTCTCCTCCATCACTCCCTCCTTTTGGGATTTTTGGCCATGCATACCTATGTCCCTGGCATGCTTCTCAAGCCACCTGGTCCTTGGGATTGAGTGCCTTAACTGTAACTACCAGACCATGGAGCCAACCCAGAAAGTTCTTTCTTAACTATGAAATCACCTACCCTCTCTATTCCCTTCATTCTCTGTAACAGCATCCTAGGTTTCTTTCTTCCAAGCCTTTAAACATATCTGACATAACCTTATGTATGTGTTTACTCATATATTACCCAATTGAGTAGAAGCTT